TTGGTATCTTGGAGAGTCTGCCACGCGCCCGTATGCGATTTTGATCAACCCTCCATTTTCTTTTCGTTAGTGGGTTGGCGACTTATCAGTGTTACGACTTGCAATATTAATTTTGTGACTTAACCTCAATGTTACGAGTTTGTTGCGACTTGCAATATTAATTTTGTGACTTAACATCGATGTTACGAGTTTGTTACGACTTGTAATATTAATGTTGTGACTTAACATCAATGTTACGACTTCTAATATCAATGTTACGTCCTCTAACATCAATGTTACGATTTCTAACATCAATGCTACGTTCTCTAACATCAATATGACGACATAACATGAATGTTACGACTCCTAAGCGACGTTCCGATTATTCGATGCAACCTTGAAGACCCAAGAATCGCTGGAAGGAAATAGAGCGTTTTGCAAAGGGTTGCGCGTCAGCTGCAGCAAACCCTTTACGGGGGCGTTTCATCGTTAATTGGTTAACCTCTAATTGAGCGAACGGTGCAACGTAAGAAGAGACGGCAGCCTTAGAAGCGTAGATGAGAACTAATTAGCCATCGGTCTCGACTGACCGATTGACGCCTCTGTTCTTTTCCTCCCCTTCTATTTTCGCGCAAAACCGAGTACTCTCTAAACTCCGTGCTTAAAGCGACGAGAAATCGATATGCGCGTTTTGACACGTTTCACGGAGTTGATTAATGCATCCTGGCACGATACACTTTGATAGCCAGAGAATGTGTTAAGGAACTCTTGTGTCAAACTTTTTTTTTTGAATGGTAAATTTTTATTTTATTTAACAACCTCAATATTCGTGGTTCGTATGTTATATTTTTATAGACTCATTTTTAAATAATAATTGAACTACTTGTACCAGGTATCTTTGTCATTAACTGTGCTGATACAATAGTTTATATTTTTACACTTTTAAATAATAAATATGTAATTGAATGTACTTGTAGTTGTTGGTATATTAAAATGTCTGCTGTTCTTAAAAATTTGAAATGTATTTACCGATTTATTTAAAAATGTTATTATTGATCGATTTAAAAGTACATATGGGAAATACACATGTGAAGTATACATGAGAACCTGATATCATGTACCCATTTTATCGATACTTATGCAGCGGTAGCATCTCTACACAAAAATTACCGGGGAATCTCATCGATTCGATCCGATCGATTCACCTTGGATGGTTCCGCATGGTCTTGCACCGTGTGTCATTCGAAGATTTTCTTCGCGTGCCATTCGATGACTGGTTTTCATCGGAAACGCGTTTCCTTCGTTAACATTCGACTGGCAATACTGGGTCCTGTTAGTTTCGCGCAATGCGTCACCGGTTGACTCAGACTCGATTGATGCATGGAATTAATCCTCGATCGCTGCCTCGTTCGTAATAGAAACACGCCGGAGATTAGTTACGTCGATTCGACGGAAATCCCCTAATGGTCTTACCGCTAATTGCTCTTAGGGTTCTGTGGATCTCCGGATTTCTTCCCGCCTCTCAATTTATTTGCTTCTTTCTATTTTTGTGTACGGGGCTCTTCGGTGGTTTCGCATTTGTGCAAACTTGTATATTTGTATTGTTATGTAATTATGGTGTATGCAATCGTAATTAAGTTTTTGTAGTTTGAGGAGTCGGACTCGTGACGCACTCGTGACGCGCTTATGGTGCATTCGTGAGGCACTCGCGACGCACCCACCACTGATGTGACGCACTCGCGACGCACCCATCATTGTCATGACGCATCCATCATTGACGCGACGTACTCATGACGCACCCACCACTGATGTGACGCACCCATCATTGACGCGACGCACTCATGACGCATCCATCATTGACGCGACGTACTCATGACGCACCCACCACTGATGTGACGCACCCATCATTGACGCGACGCACTCATGACGCATCCATCATTGACGCGACGTACTCATGACGCACCCACCACTGATGTGACGCACCCATCATTGACGCGACGCACTCATGACGCATCCATCATTGACGCGACGTACTCATGACGCACCCACCACTGATGTGACGCACCCATCATTGACGCGACGCACTCATGACGCATCCATCATTGACGCGACGTACTCATGACGCACCCACCACTGATGTGACGCACCCATCATTGACGCGACGCACTCATGACGCATCCATCATTGACGCGACGTACTCATGACGCACCCACCACTGATGTGACGCACCCATCATTGACGCGACGCACTCATGACGCATCCATCATTGACGCGACGTACTCATGACGCACCCACCACTGATGTGACGCACCCATCATTGACGCGACGCACTCATGACGCATCCATCATTGACGCGACGTACTCATGACGCACCCACCACTGATGTGACGCACCCATCATTGACGCGACGCACTCATGACGCATCCATCATTGACGCGACGTACTCATGACGCACCCACCACTGATGTGACGCACCCATCATTGACGCGACGCACTCGTGACGCACCCACCACTGATGTGACGCACCCATCATTGACGCGATGCACTGTGACGCACCTATCATTGGACGCGACGCACTCGTGACGCACCCATCATTGGATGCGACGCACTCGTAACGCACCCATTATTGAACGCGACGCACTCGTGACGCATCCATCATCGGACACGACGCACTCGTGACGCACCCATCACTGGACGTGACGCACTCACCACTGACGTGACGCACCCATCATGGGACGCGACGCACTCGTGACGCACCCATCATTGGACGCAACGCACTCGTGACGCACCCACCACTGATGTGACGCACTCGTGACGCACCCACCACTGATGTGACGCACTCGCGACGCACCCATCATTGGACGCGATGCACTCGTGACGCACTCACCACTAATGCGACGCACTCGTGACGCACCCATCATTGGACGCAACGCACTCGTGACGCATCCACTACTGATGTGACGCACTCGTGACGCACCCACCACTGATGTGACGCACTCGTGACGCACCCACCACTGATGTGACGCACTCGTGACGCACCCACCACTAATGTGACGCACCCATGACGCACTCATTACATATTCGTGACGCATTTGGAATATTTTCATGACGCACTCGTGACATACTTGTATCCACGACGCACTCGTGACGCACTCGTACTTCAGCAGCGATCAATTTCACTGTAATATTCAACACATTTCAATTTGCAAATCAGAACCAGTAATTTGCATACTCAGCGACTACATGATACTAAATAGACATAGCATTTCAACTTTTCTTCTGTGTTTTAATATTCCAGTGATTAGCCGTGACGCATCCGGCAAATAACAGTGTAAGGGTTAAACTTGATCACAGCGAAAGTTCTTCAAATCAATTTGTAGCCTCGTGCTCATAGGTACACGTCTAACTTATGCAAGCTTACATACGTTACACGTAATTACGTACGCTATAATTAAAGTACAACGACATCTTTTTTTACGTGGCATCGAAATAATGAGGCAGGATGAAGATTTTATTGGGAAACACGCGTAAAACGCGTTGAAATAGCCGGCTTAAAAGCGGAGCAAACGCGCTGAGGATCCGTCGAAGATCCACGAGGTCGATGACGTCAGAGACTTGCCGGGATCAATCGGAGAGTCAAGTCGCGATAATTGCGACAATCGTCGGGATGCTCCCCAACGAGACGCTTAATTCCGCTCCCTCGTCGCAACTCTCTTTCGCCGTTCAATTTACGCTCCCTCGCGCTATTTACTTATTGCTCGGTAGATTGCCGATCGTTAATTGGCCCCCTTTCCTCCGGAACAAAGACCTCTTGTTTACTTTTTATTTACTCGAAATCGAATACCAACAGATTTTCCGTGTTCCCTCTGTAATTCTTCGCATTTCGATCATATTTGACTCCTTGCACTTTGTTGTCCCCTGTGAGGGACTTTTTAAATAACAAATTCGAGTGCAAAGCTTCAGATTATTCGATATTTTCTGTATGCACATTTTGCCTGCACTTTATAGCCGACCTTCAGTGAAGTCCTTTTACAATTACCATTATTATATACAACCTTGTGAAGTATAAGCTTTTACGAATCAGGTCGGCCATTTTGATCAGTGGATCATATAAGAACTTCAGATCCACAACGCGTAATATCGCAGCCGATATCGATTAATCGGCCATTCGAATCGTCGTGGGAGCGTCCGCTTTTTTCTCTACCCACATTCGATAAACGAATCGATAAACGAATCGTTGGTGGTTCGTTTCCTTGAGCGAGCGGAGGAAAAAACGGACCGGCGATCATCGGGGACACGATAATTGGCCGGCGCAGCCCACGAAACGTTTAATTATCTTCGAGCAACATGTTCTTTCGTAGCGAACGCAACTTGTCATGAATCGATCAGACATTGTTCGTAGAGACGCTCAAACATTGCTCAGAAGTGAAAATGGCGGGAAAAGTAGCTTAAGATGTCTCAAATCTAGCACACAATGTTTAGGGACTCTTTAAAATAGATATGCAATCCTTGACCATCATTTAGTATGTTAAGCTGCTCCAGAGAAAAATGGCGGGAAAAGTAGCTTAAGATGTCTCAGATCCAACACTCAATGTTCAGGGACTCTTAGAAGTAGACTACAGTCCCTGACCATCACTTGGCCATATAAGGAAAAATGGCGGGGAAAGTAGCTTAAGATGCCTCAGATCTAGCACTCAATGTTCAGAGACTCTTAGAAGTAGACTACAATCCCTGACCATCACTTAGTCATATAAGGAAAAATGGTGGGAAAGTTAGATTAAGATGTCTCAAATCTAGCACTCAATGTTCAGAGACTCTTAGAAGTAGACTACAGTCCCTAGCCATCACTTACTCATACCTGCCTTACTAATTAAAAAATTGCCTTACTAATAAAGTATAAAAATAAAAACTTGTTAAGGTACCTTACAGTACCCCACATAGCCCCAAGTATACTCATGTCCCCTTTAAGCTTGCAACTATGCTCTATACCCAATAACTCATCAAATTTTCTCTGTACCCAGATGGAGAACCAAGCTTTCGAGGAGGAGGCACGAGTGGAAGAAACCTATAATCCCCGAATCGAGGAAACCTCGGACAACCACGTGTACGAGGACATTCTACCAGGCACCGAGGTACCGACCGACCTATCAAAGGTATCCGACGAGGTTCCAAGTGCGTTTCGACGAAACCTCACGTTGCCCTTTCGTCGAGCGGTGGGTCCCGAGCCCGTCGCCACCAGCTCCTCCGTTCGCGTGAATCGTAGAAGGAACGAGGCGGAAGAATCGGACGACGTCCAGGCCGAATGTAGACCCAACAGAAGACGCAGGAAGAAGGATTGTAAACATTGTAGGAACAAGGCGAACGACGACAGGGAGAAGAATCGTCCGTACACCACGGAGCTAAATGGTCGAAGGCTCGATAATTTGTCCGATGTACCGGAGGACGCAACTGTGGAGGGAAGCAACGTGTTCACGATCTCTGAGAAGGTTCAGAACGAGTCGAAGCTGATCGAGTACGAGAAAAACAATGGCCAGGATGTTGGGAGCAAGGACGATGGTGCGGAGAAGAAAACTAGGGCCGGGATGAGGGTCAACTCGATCTACTCTCAGGATCGATGGTACGCGAAGGAGACGCCGATATTCTTTACTGATGTCAAGGAACAGGCTCCCTTTCAGGTGAGCAACTGTGTACTTCTGGTACTTTTGGTAGAGCATTTTGTACTTTGGGAGGGTGTTCTTTGACATTTTAGATAGGAAATGTTCTTCAGTATTTTGGAAAAAGAATGTTCTTCAATATTTTGGAGAGGGGTTGTTCTTCAATATTTTTGAAAAGGGGTATATAGTTCTTCAGTTGATATATAATTCTTTGGTGCCTTAAATAGGGAATATGTTCTTCAATATTTTGGAGAGGGGATAGTTTTCCATTTGATGTATAGTTCCTTCATATTTTAGGTAGAAGATATGTTCTTCAATATCCTTGAAAAAGTACATATAGTCCTTCAGCTGATATATAATTCTTTGATGCCTTAAACAGGGGATATGTTCTTCAATATCCTTGAAAAAGTACATATAGTCCTTCAGTTGATATATAATTCTTTGATGCCTTAAACAGGGGATATGTTCTTCAATAGTTTGGAACCAGCATATATTCTTCAATATTCTGGAAAAAAGATATATAGTTCTTCAGTTGATGTGTAGTTGTTCAATATTTTACATAGAGGATGTATTCTTCATTATTTTGGAACGAGGACATATTCTTCAATATTCCGGAACAAGGATATGTTCTTCAATATTCTGGAACAAAGACATGTTCTTCAATATTTTGTAACAAACATGTTCTTCACTATTTTGGAACAAGTATATATTCTTCAATATTCTGAAACAAGCATATATTCTTCACTAGTTTGGAATAAAAATATGTTCTTCGCTATTTTTGAACAAGTATATGTGTTTTAACATTTTAGAAAAACAATACATAGTTCTATACCTGATAATTCTTTTATATTTTAAATAGGAAAATGTTCTTCAATATTTTGGAACAAGTATATATTCTTCAATATTCTGAAACAAATATATTCTTCACTATTCTGGAACAAGAATATATTCTTCACTATTTTTGAACAAGTATATGTGTTTTAATATTTTAGAAAAAGTATATATAATTCTATACCTGACAATTCTTTCATAATTTAAATACTTAAATGTTCTTCAATATCTTGATACAAGTATATATTCTTGACACATAAATATTCTGAAACAATTATGTTATTCACTATTTTGAAACAAGCATATTCAATATTTTAAAATGAAGCTTATAATTCTTTATTTAATTTTTCCTGACATACTTCAAAATAGAAACAGAAAGATTTACCACCTCCATAAGATCATCATCACTTTCTCTAATTGCACTCCATCTTCTTCACACTAGTCTAACTAAAAAACTATTAAATAATCTAAAAGTATCTAAAATAAATTCAGCAACTCGATCATTGATCTGCGTGACACGATCACAGGGTGAGAATCGCTGTACGAAAGCGAAAGTTGAGAACTGCCACTGCTATGAAAGCATAACTCTCGACTCCGCCGCTAGGTGGCGCAGAGCCGAGCGAGTTTCTCGCAGCTGAAGTAGCGTAGGGGATAGGATAAGTTGACGCTCGAAGCGGAGGAAAGCATACTTACCTGGCGCAGAGGTTACCGTGATCAAGAAGGCGGTTCCTCCAGGGCGAGGCTTTTCCATTGCACTACGGTTAGGCTGACCCTTGCGAATACCCCTAATGTGGGTATCTCGGGCGTATAATTTTTGGTAGTCGGGACTGCGTTCGCGCTGTCCCGGATAAAATAATTCAAACATAAAATGTTTACTTGCATAAACAACTTTATTCAATTATTTCCTTTCAAATTACTTCCCTTCCTTTTTTCTATTGACTTAAGAAACAGTTTATCCTTTTCCCACCTTTTTCAAACTTTGTTTAAAGCAGAACTTGTTATAACAATTCTATCTATACACATCCATCTATTATATTCCCTAAGTGGTTCAATAGGTTGAGCTTTTTAAGTCCACTCATAAATTTCTCATATCCTTTTTGTATACATACAGTCATCAATTATTTTCTAAGTGGTTCAATAGGATGAGCTTTACAGTTCATATCTATTTTCTCATGCTTTATATTCATACACGTCATCTTTTACTTTCTGATTCACTCGGTGGAGCTTTGCGGTTTATAAATCGTATCCTTTTTATATCACATTCTACTATTTATAATTCAGTAAAGCTCTTTATAGTTCATACTATAAATTCCTGTCACTGCACTTTTCCCAACTGTTACAATGACATGTCATTCTTCATGGTCAACATAGACTGTAAAATTAGGCCAAAAGTCTCTAGATTCGTCAGACAGTTATGAAATCTTTTCGGCCTCATTTATATTCCAAGCAGACAAGATGAAATATCCTTCGGCTGTTTGCGATGTTCTGCGACTCAAACGTCATTTCTTTTTTCGTCTTATTTTCATACGAAAGAATTGATGCGAGGGTCGATCGCGATCTATGCGCGGGAAATTTGAAACGATTTAAAAATTCGTTACCGTATGAGAGGTTCATTACTATATGCAAAATGTAGTTTATGTAAAACTGTAGTTTATGTAATTTACTGTTATACAAAAAATAGGCTATGTATTTACTTTTATATGAAAAGTATTTATAATTATAGGAAAAAATAATTATATTTATATTATACGAAAAATTTTTGTTATGTATTTATTATTACACAAAAAATGTAGGTTATGTTTGCAATTATACAGAAAATATAATCTAGGTATTTTACAGGAAATAATTTATTTATAATTACACGAAAGATTTACAATTATAAGTAAAATTCGATACTGATCTAGGCAATGTAGACAGTCTCCTTTTTCTCGACACGTCTGGCGCTCTAAACGACCAAAACGGAACGGAAGTGGAAAACGTCTATCTATAGCCAGACGCGTTGATGTCTGCCCACGTCGAGTTTTCCGCGCGAAATCGAGCGGAAGGAAATGAAAACATTTCACGACTTCGAAACCTTATTCCCGAAATCCTCTTACAAGCAATTATTTCATCGATGTGATTAAAAGTTGTATAAATAACATTACCTTTTTTCCTGAGACGACATGGATGCGAATCTCCGTTGGAAACTTTTTAGGATAGCGAATGGGTTAATGCAAGCAGGTAAAGCGCGTCAACGCGAACCGATAGTCAGTTTGACGCGGACCATTGCCTCGACAGGCACACGCGACAGCTCCTTACGTTCGAGCACGATTTAACATACTTTTTCCAACTTATTAAAAATGAAGTCAACTGTCAGCTTCTTAACCTGTCAGATCTAGTGTTCGAGAAACTTCTAACCTTGCTCTTTTTATCGATGAATCATTAACGATTTAGTATCTAGTCACCGCACCCTTGTTTTTTCTGGGAACTAGCTTCCAAATGATATCGAACAGATAAAACGATTATCGAGTAATCGGCGCGTCAGTTTGCGGATAATGCGATATCGATGGCGGAACTTCAGGTGAACCTGCATTAATCGCGATCGTACGTCACAAGGTCCTTATCCGAATCTTCTGTTTTCAGAGGGCGTATTCCCTCCCTTTGCGAACGCAAACACCGTCCTCGCAAAATCGCATTAACCTGCGACGCAGTGTCAGGGGGGAACCGCCGCCGCATCCTGCGAGACTTCGTAAACATCGCCACGGATGGACCCTGCATTTGGCGCGTCCTCTCGAGACACCCGGATGTACCAGATCTCTGTGGTTCCTGTTGGGTCTGATAGTGACGTTGTTAGGAATCGGTGCCTTCGCTCTGTACATCGCTTTCGGTAAGCAGAAACAAGTGGTAGAAGTGCGGTAATTAATCGCGGTCTGCGTGGCCCGAGGTTTAATTCGACGAAGCGAAATAATTGAGCGAGATGAATTTAACCAGTGGGTCAACGCCGTGCTCCCTTCGCGCGGTTCGAGTTAAGAAGTCACGCAGAAGCGCCTATGACGAGGAATGGCAAGAGGCGTTGACCGTTCATTTTCCAAGCGGAGTTATTTCTGGCCAGACCATTCTTTGAGATGCTCGTTAAAGTAGCTTAAATTGTCCAGCAGCCGATACACATTTTAACGCTTGGACCGCCATCTTTGCAGAGCCCGAGAAGCTGCAGATCATTCAACAGTACCTGAAGTCGTCAAAGAACGAGTCGAAGCTGCTGGCAGGTACCTTTCTTCCCGCCATCACGCAACCGAATAATGTGACAACGGCTGGGATATTAACCAGCTTACTTCCGAGCGATGATCAGAATAGCACTTTGTCGGAATTGCAAACTGAAACGGAAGCTACAGTTAATTCCACTAGGTACTGTGACGACTGCTTGACGGAAGAAGTTTGCGTGGCTCTTGCCGATGAAGAGGTGCCCATCTGCCGGGTTAGCCTCGACCCCAACGACCCCACAGGATGCGCTGGCTTTTGTCTGGTTAACAAACAAAAGTGCCACCGACTTGATGTAGATGCTTTCAGGTGCATAACCTGCTCATTTTTTCTTTTATGTTTAATGTTAATTTTATGTTCACTTTTTAATTGGGGTGCATAAGACAGAATTGCTCATTTTCTCTTTTATAATTTTTATAGGTTATTTTTTAATGTTAATTTTTTATTTGAGGTGCACAAGACAAAACTTGCTGGTTTTTTCTTTTATAATTTTTAATGTTAATGTTCACTTTTAATTGAGGTGCATAAGACAAAACCTGCTTATTCTTTTTCTTTTATAATATTCAATGTTAAATTTTAATGTTCATTTTTTTTCATTGAGGCGCATAAGACAAAACCTGTTTATTCTTTTTCTTTTATAATGTTCAATGTTAATATTTCATGTTCATTTTTTAATTGAGGTACATAAGACAAAACCTGCTTGTTTTTTCTTTTATAATGTTCATTTTTTAATTGAGGTACGTAAGACAAAACCTACTCTTTTTTTCTTTTATAATGTTTAATGTTAATTTTTAATGTTCGCTTCTTCATTGAGGTGCATAAGACAAAACCTGTTTGTTTTTTCTTTAATAATGTTCCATGTTAATGTTCATTTTTTAATTAAGGTGCACAAGATAAAACCCGTTAGTTTTTCTTTTATAATATTTAATATTAATGTTTATATTTTAATTGAGGTGCATAAGACAAAACCTGTTAGTTTTTTCTTTTATAATATTTAATATTAATATTTATATTTTAATTGAGGTGCATAAGACAAAACCTACTCATTTTTTCTTTTATAATATTCAATGTTATTTTTTTAATAAAGGTGTGTGGACATAGAGCACTACTGTCTGGACGACGAGTGGACCTGCTCCAACACTCTATGCATCCCCGTTGACAAACGCTGCGATGGCCACATGAATTGCTACGACCACTCCGACGAGTACAATTGCGGTGCGTTCTCAAGAAAAATATCCAGTTAAAGCGAATTACGCGAGACACCCTGTGTCGCATTAGCCCAGTTTCCAACATATGACTTTCTGTTATCGGTTTACCGTTTTCTTACCGTTGTTTGCGAGGCTTCTGTATCCGCGCGAATGCAAAGTTACAAATTCGTTTATCTAAAGAATTTAGTAAAGCGACATGATAGAAAGATAACGCAATAAGGTTGATACGCTTGTTGCAGTCTGCGATCTGGAGACGCATTTCCAGTGCGGTAACGAGACTTCCTGCCTTCCGTTGGAAAAGAGATGCGACGGCAAGATAGATTGCTGGGACGCAGCCGACGAGATTAATTGCACGTTAGGTAAGATACGCGTAACGACTTACTCGGCGAATCATCGAGTTGTCAAAATAATTATGAACGATGTTTCCCGTGTGAAACTGAATTGTAAATTGTTTTCCGTGAGATCATACGGTTCGTTGACTTGTACCATTTTTCTACTTCTTTTTTTCCTGTGGGTGAAGGTCCTTCTCAACTTTGTTTTCTTTTCTCCGTAGGTCGTAATCTCGGTTGGTGTGAGTACATTTATTCTGTACAAATTAATGTTTGCATGTTCGCTGTCATAATTGCTACACGTTTGCCTGTTGCATCATAAATTAATTTTGCCTAACCTATACACTTACATACACGAATACCGAGGTTTACCCAAGGTCAATTGCAAAGGGTTAAGAGGCTCACCAAGCACAATGATCTCTTTCATATACACAATACCGCTTTTGATTGAAGGAATTAGCTTTGGCAAATTAATAAAATCCTGTATGAAGCTTCATCTGTGGCTTTTTTTAAATTTATACCATCGCAACGTAGTCTCTTTTGATATCAGCATGCCCATCGGAAAACGAGTTCACGTGCAGTAACGGGCAATGCATATTGAAAGCACGTTTCTGCGATGGCTTGCCAGACTGTCTCGACGGATCTGACGAACCTCATGGGTGCCAAGGACGGTGCAACAAGCACGAGTTTACATGCCAGTGAGTCGATTTTAACGAGTACAGATCTCTTTCGTCGACGTGAAAGTAAAAGTTTTCGCTTTCAGAAATAGCAGATGCATCGCTAAGGGAATGAAGTGCAACGGCGTCGACGACTGCGGCGACGGGAGCGACGAGCGTCATTGTAAAGATCGGATTTCTTAGCCAATAATTACGCGTTACAGTATTCCTTTTTCTATCATAGACACGTGTAATTAATGTATATAATTGTGCTGTATAGACACACGCAGTGGTACGTAATAAATGGTTTGACAAGCGCAATACTTAATAATAATTAGGAAACGATACTTTTCACTTTTATTCACACATTATATACTTCCAGTTACAATAGCAATGAAATTTCTTGTGTGTCTTACATTATTTTTCACCTATTGTGAATAAGATATATAATGTATGTCTCTCTGTGTATACATGTATGTGTGCGTGTGTGTATACATGTAAGAGATCTTAAATTTTAACGTCCTAATCGTACTTATACACACGCGTACAAGAAAATTACGTATACGTAGATATATTTTTGTATACAGTTAACCGCGTTTGTATAAAGTCTTCTGAAATGTATGCGACTCCGCAGAATTTCTACCTAGTCTTTTACCTAAACAAAATGTTTTCCTCGAGTGAATAAAGTATATACAAATTATATAATACGCACACGGTTCGAATATTATTTTTTTCAGAGCAGCGTATTCGTCCTTGATTCCTCGAAATCGAAGCAGTTTTATAGGAATTCGTCCGGTTCTCTCGGCGCGTCGAGATCGCGATAATGAATGACTGGCCGAAAGTCTCCACCGCCGCCACTGTAACGTTTAATAAGAGTTAAAACGTTTTGCAATTTGAACAGCAATACGACAGAGCATGCAATATCACATTTATCCGCGAACACGCGCGATGTACGACCAACTGGACATAGGATTTATACGGAGACATGGGATGTAAAATAAAGGCACATATATAAGTATAGTAACAAATAATTTTATTTGTTATATTTCTTTTCTTGTAAGATTACAGTATCTGTCTCTGTTCTAGTCTGTCTTTTTTAACAAAATACACGTTACTGTATATACTTATATTCTTTTTTATATACACGAGTCATATTACGAGACAAATGTGCTGATTTTGTAACACGGTTTGGCAAATATTTAAACGGCGGATTGTGTTACGTAATCCAGATATGAATCTGCTAGCACACGATATTATTTCTTATAAAAGATTTGAGCAGTACCCGACAAAACTTAGAACATATCCATGTCTAGCTGGTCCAAATCATTATAACTAACAATAGGCCTTGAAGTCGAATCCGGTGCAGCCCTGTAAAACAGCGTATCACCACGTTCATTGCGAGGAAATCAAATTGAGACTGACTCTGACAGCCGTATAGAATCTCGAGACTCGGGAAAACGCACTTTACTGTGTTACAGTTCAACAATGGAGCGAGAAAGTTAGGAACAAGTCTCTTACCGTCCTCTATTGAATCCACCACGAGTGGGACGCGGCATTCCAAACCCTCCACCAAATCCTGCACTGTAACTGGATCCGTAGCCTCCTCTGCTGCCACCGTATCCAGCACCGTAGCCTCCAAACCTGTACAAATAAATTACTTCATTAATTCATCTGACTACAACGTGTTGAAAGCTTTTTACTTACGTGGTACATCCATAGGGGTTAAAGCCCTCGCCGCGTATGCTTTCCCTGGGAGGTGCCTTGTTCCCCGGATGTTCTGGAAGCTGCGGCCTCTTCGGGTCCCTCAAATAGTTGTTGAAATACTCCGCTTCTGCTTTTACCTCCGCCACTTTCTCCGCGTGTTTGTTGAATATGTGCTTCCGGATGAAGTCTGGTCCCTTGAATTTCTTCCCGCTGAGCGGACACAGCCACTTGTCCTTCGACAGCTCTTGAGTGTTGGCTTGCACGAACTTCTCGACCTCACTGATTTCAGCGTTAAGGAAATAGTGTAGAACAGAAATTGAAAGTAGTAGCACGCGAAAAAGGATACGCTTCAGCGTTCTTGGCGCCCAGTTTATCGAACTCCTCTTGAGACAACGTGGCGACGGGTTGTAGGAAGGCAGCCATTTTGTTTTCGAAGTTGCGACAATATTCGGATAATTCTGTGCTTGATACTTTGGCGGTCGGAGGCGAACCTCGGACGTGCATTATTCCGCATCTGTTCGGCATCTCGTCCTCGTTTGGATACTCACAGTGATTGTAGTAGTCGACGGAATGAACTATTCGTAAATAGAGGATCAATCTGTCTAGAACCTAAAAACAGAGCGAGTTAAAGACTAGCCGAGGGACTAGTTTTAAAGACTAGCCGAAGGACTAGTTTTAAAGACTTAGTTAATTACTTACTTTAATTAAGGTTGGGTCTCTTTCGATGGGACCATCACCATCACCACCTAGTTGTCCCTCTTCTTGATCACCGGACATTCCTAATAACTCTTCTTCTTCGGCCGATGCCTCTTCTATCAGGTAATCGGTGATATTTTTAAGGACAGGATTCTTAGATGATAAGCCGAACGCCTGTGTATAAAAATATTTTAGTAATATTAGCAGCATCAGTATTGTTACTAGACCTAGTCTAGTAGGTCTACTAGGCCTAGTTCTACTACGACTTCTACTACTTTACATTTTGCATGCTCTTATTCTCCTTGTTATCATCTTCCTGTTTCACTGCATTATCTTCCTTCTTCTCCTCGTTCCACAGACCAACCCTGTTGTCCAAATTGTGAACAATTTTGGCGCTCAATTTGATGTCGTGTCTGACTATTTGTTTGTGAGACGTCAAACCATTCACTGTGCGGATGCGTCGCGACAGGTCCCGGTTCACTATAGCGCCAAGCTCACAGTCTCGCAACTAAAGTTACATAATATGTTGATAAAAAAAGAAATGTGTAATGATAAAAAAGAAATGTCCTTTTGTTTACAAACTTAATGCACTTACTCGAATATTGTTCAAGCTCCAACATATCTCCTTTATGTTCACCTGTCTTTCAAAAGACACCCATCCTCTTCTGAACCATCTTCTCTCCGGTTGCGGATCCGCGATGGCGACTCGTAGAAATCCAGGGAAGCGTTTGCACATCTGTTCAGTAAATTAATAAATTTATTTCCACAACCAGATATATAACAGTTAGATAACTAACCGCTTCGACTTCTGCCTTGGTGATCGTTGGAGCCAGATTGCGAAGGAAGATGCTGCTAGTTTTGTGCAGAGCTCTAGGTTCTTTCTCCTTATCCTCGCTAGCTAGATCTATCACAGCTTCCGGCTCCATCGTAGACTTCTTAGCTTCCGACTGTTCCTTGTCAGCTTTAACTTCCTGATCATCTTCTTTGCCATCTTGCGCATCCGCGTTTTCATTTCTTGCGTCCGCCTTTTCGGTCGCAGCTGGAAATTGTAAATAATAATTATATAGAATGTAAATAACAATTGTAAATAATATTTACTTACAAGTTTCCGCTTTTGGTGTATCGGGTTTGTTGCTGTCACTACCGGAAGAACTACTGCTACTACTGCTGCTGCTACTGCTGCTATTGCTATCGGTTCGTTTCCTCTTTTTAGTGTTGGTTTCCTCTGACTTTTCTGTGACATCCATATCATCCTCCTTTTTTGTTTCCTCTGCATTCTCTTCAGATTTCTCAGTCTCCTCTATCGACGCTTCCTCCTTCTCCGCATTCTTTTCGTTATTTACATTCTGACCATTGTTTGGTTTCTCTGCTTGCGTTTCATCCGTCTTACTTGTATCACTATAAGTTTATATATTAGTCCTGTTTTAAAGAATCTTGCTTTAATTAACATCTTACCTGCTCTCCACTTTTTTGTCATTTCCAACTTTTATTTTTTCCTCCTTATTTTTATTTGTATCTTTAGATATAACAGGGTTCACCGGTTTTACTTCTAGAACTTGCAAATCTTCTTCTGTACCGCCTTCTAATTTAATAACCACTGCATCTAATAAATGTAACAAGGCATCGGCTTGGTCAGCATCGACGGATACTTTATCTATTTCTCCTACATCAAGCATTTCTAAGAAAACTTCAACTCGTTTCTACAAAATAAAATATTGTTAAAATTTCAATACTCTGCTACAGTCAATATTAATGAATTAATAATTTACCTTAAGGGCTGCCACCTGTTCCTCCTTTCTCTTCACTGACTCCTCAGGATGATATTTTATTTTGAACCTAATAATCAAGAAAAAAAGTTGTATGAACATCGACATTAAAATAATTCATCAATTAAAGCGAACGTGTATTCAAAAAAAGTTATATAAAAGTTAAAATATAGCTAACTTCTCAATACAATTTTATATCGAGAACATATCACGCAAGCACAGATGTGCTTTTTCAATGAAATCCTCTTGCGAACGAAATCGTTCAATAATATAGTGAATCGTGACTGAGAAATCTGTCGCGATAGGTGTTGGTTCAAATATAAAATTACGTTTCCCATCCGTATTCTAGATCCTCGTGAATATTCTATCCTTTTTCTCGAGACGATTATTAAGTTATTTCATACCGTCAACATTGTCAGTTACAGAATGAAGTCTCACCTGTAGTCTGATACTTTTACTCGCATTCAGTTTTCTCGTCGATACAGAGGTCTATTGTGACAATAGCATATTTCTCGAATGATAGAAATAATTAAACGGGTTTAGAACGCGGCCTACCACGAGCATGTTTGGGCTTTGCGCGCCCAGCTCGCATTTTCTAACTACCTAATAGACACCTCGATTCTTCTGCGATGCGCGTTACGCGATATACATAAAATATCGTACGAAAAAATAAACGAGCGAGGTGACCTGTGCCCAAGGCATAAGACGTGGCTGGCTGTACGCTGTAGGGATAGACAGAGCTGGTCATATTGCTTGCAATTATCGATAAAACTGTGTCTGCAATTTAGCAAAAATTATAAAACTACTACACCCTCGCGTCTTCCTGTCCAACGTACGTATGCACCTCCGCGCATACATGTCTGGACAGAGACATGGTAGTTCCATTAAAATTCTCAATTATTTTCTACAGTGAATGTAATGTTCAATGCATGTATAAAAAAAAGTGACTGAAAATTCAATGTTTGAACAAATAGAAAAAAAAGGAAAATATAGAAGTTAAACCACTGTAGAAATTAATTTTTCTTATGTCCATAATTAAGTATGACAGCTCTATGACACACTATGAACAATGTTGTGAACAATACAAATATATTTTAAGAAAACGAAATATACCATTCCTCATCCTTGTGCGCAACGAAGAATTCGTTCAACTGTTGCCTCCTGAATTCCAATTTATATTCATTATACCGCTTAATAGCTTCCTCATCCGTAATCGTATCTTCCTGTGTTCCAAGGAATGCTTTAAACGACATCATCGGAGGTTGAGTCTCAACATTGGAATTACTGAAGTTACCAGCAACCTCTCGACTGTGTAAAGTACAAAAACAAACATTAAGATTAATTAAACAATAGAATGTGCATAAGCGCTACCTCAGTCGAGCCAATAATCTTGGAGTGAATCGACTCCTCTTTTGCATAGTTACAATACAACCTCTTTTTTTCATGACAATCCTGTTCATAGATCAAGAACAAATTCACAGGGAAAAAAAAGAAGATCACTATAAAAATAACATAAGAAACACAAACCTGCTACTGTTACCATGGTTTCCATAATGATGATTACTATGATGCGGAGGTGGATAGTGGTCAGGACCCCAAGATGTTGCACCACCTGCTCCACCTCCGTAATAATCATGCCCATATCTTGGTCGATCATCCCAGTCGGCTCTCATTCTTTTCATAGGAGGTGCCATTTCTTGCGATCTAGCAGGACTGTATCGGTCCCTTCCTCCACCTCCTCCACCACGGTATTCTCTGTAATCTGGGCGCTGTCTTGGTCGACTGGACCACTCTCTGGAATAATCACTACCTTTAAAACTACAAGAGGCTGTTTATACCGTTACGGAACTCTTATGATAACAAATTGAATACATTAATAGTTATATTATAAAGCGGATAGTTACCTATCAACCCAGTCATCTCTTCTTCTATCGTCCCTACGTCCCTCTCTGGAATAAGATTCCGTTCTCTCCCCTCTAAATTTATCTCTCCTTTTCCTATCATATTCGTCATCGGAGTCAGCCATAGTGTAAAAATTTCTTATTCTGAAAAATATAAGGATAAAACTTGATGTTTCAAATTCTGTGCCTGAGGGTTAAGTACACAACATAAACCTTTATTAACCAAATAACCCGCAAATCGTTACCACCGTTCGCCATCCGTGTCACGGTACAAATGTACCGTTAAATACAACCGTTTATTACAGGAGTATATCTTATTAATACTTTTTCAAAAGAAATATTCGAATAACGCGGGAATACTACTTTTAGAATATGCGACTGATTTGCGTTTAGTTAACTTATGCGAGTAAAATTATTTGGCGATAATAACGCAAAGAAGGTGTAGTTAGTTTAAATAATATCGAAACTCACCTACTTAAAGTACACCGTTCAACGAAATTAAAATCTTACCATAAAACTTTTTGCTAACCATTACCCTGCGTCACCAAAGTATCAGTCTCGCGAGGTGCGGCGTTGTATCGCTGCAATCGATATCTCTCGAGTCATTCGATAATGCGCCAAATTTAAAAGGGCGTTCGTAACTTAGAGACAATTTATCAATTATTTTGTATTAAATATATAAATTTATGAGGTGCAATGAAATTATTGATATTTTTAATGATTTCTTAAGAAGTATGATATATGTATAATGATGTATATTCGTTAACTGAAATAATTATATTTGATTAACGATTTATGGAGCTTTATGGTTTTTCCCAATAAACCGATATAATCTATACAGGATATCGATGTTCGATTATCGTTAGATCTATAAATAATTCTTCGATCATCTATTACACAATCGATTACCTCGCGATTCGTAGAACAGAACCATTCACATATCATCATTACAATGATTTACTTTTCGAGGATTCTCGAATTGTTCGTGCTTGCCGGTTTAAAATTAACTGTTTGTCACAGTTAATTTTAAACCGATCCATAAAATCAAGTTTTTCCAATTCTGGCATTTCGATCACAACAAACTTTAAGAGACGCAGATCTCAATAGGAATGCGTCGTAAATTCGAGCTCGCCTGCGATTTGCATAATCTCCGAAACGTGAGGGGAATGGGATATCGTGGAAACTTCTAAAGTCCGATGACGTATCAGAAAGCCGGCCGGCGGGAGTCGACCAGTTATTCATTGCCACTGTTGACAGAAAATTCTCGCGGGGATGCTTCCTTTCACCGACGGGGGTATCCTTATAAATACAAGTATTTATCGAGGCGCTGCAATTCTGCGAGTCGTCGTCGACCATGAGTTACCGAAGGATCATCCGATCGATTTCAGCGATATTACTGATCGCCACGATTGTTGGATCAGGTAAAATTAGACATTCTTCAAATTTAATACGAGTGCTACGTCTTTAGGGACGGACGGTTAGTGGACCGTTGACAGTTGGGACGGACGGTTAGTAGACCGTTGACAGTTGGGACGGACGGTTAGTGGACCGTTCAGGCGGTTGACAGTAGACGTTTTGTTTGGATGGCGTGGAGTCTAGTACTGACAGTGAACCGTTTAGACAGTTGACAGTAGACTTTGGACGGCGTGGAGACTGACGACTGACAGTGAACTTCTCGTTTGGAACATTGGTGAGGCCGGCATTGTAAAGGGTTGTACTTGTGTAACGGTGTCATAAAACGTTCCTTCTATACCTAATTTCAGTTTTGAAAAAAGGAAGTCACATGGAGATAAATCAGACGAATTTGGAGGATGTTAGAGCAAGATTTTTTTCGCCAAAAATTCATGAACAAGTTCTGTGACATGGTGCGTCACGCAACAGAAACCAACTACCGGCGCTCGATATTCGGGCCTCACGAACGATCCTCTTCCACAAACGTTCCATAACACCCAGATAATATTCGCCATTAACATTTTGTCCCTGTGGAACGAATTCCCGAAGTATAATTCCTTTAGAATCGTAAAAGCAAATTAACATCGTCTTCTCGAGGGACTTCTGGAATCGCAATTTTTTGATTTTCGAGAGCCTGGAGATTTCCACGTAGCACTTTGGCGCTTTGTTCAAGGTTCATACTTGAAGCACCGCGTTTCGTCACTATTTACAATTGATTCCAGGAATGTGCAGCTTCGTCTGGCTGTTTTGATAAGATCCTCGCAATATGCGACGCGAGCAATTTATTGCGCTTGCCCGTAATCTTGTGACACGGTGACGAAAGGTTTTGTCGCATTAAACGCTATAAGTTGTGTTTTGTAGGGGAGATATACTTTCAGATAACATATTTAATAGATGGCGCTAGTAGTTTTCTTTAAATTTAAAAAGTTCCGTTACTTTTTCTTACAGTGCAATGGGAGTTCTGTATTGTAAACTTATGACAAATTGATTATGGTGTTTATTTGTGTACAGGCAGCACGTTCGCCGGACACAAAGGAATACGAAGCTACGATAGCGGGCCCGGGGGTAGGGGGGTAGGGCAGCCCGGTAAAGGATGCCCCAAATGCAAGTGGGAGGATGATGACTACTGGGAGCAGCAGGAGGAGGAGATGGAACCGAAAGAGAGGGACGAGGACGAGTGCGACGACGGGGATGATGGACAGTACAGGGAGCATGGTTCTTGGGTCCATAAACTAGGACATGCTCCTGGAAGTTCTCCAGGTGGCAATGTTGGAAACAACGCTGGAAATGTTGGAGGTTCTTCATTTGGACCCGTTAAACAGACATATGGATCCGGTCCAGGGTCATGGAAGGCAAACCAAGGTCAACCGGGACCAAGCTGGAACTCTGGAACGACTAAACCTAGCTGGAGCCAACCGAAACCTGGATCTCAAAGTGGTCAGTGGAATCCTACAGGGTCTAGAGATCAACAGAGTGGAAGCTGGGACGATAACGACACTGGTTGCGCGGGCAGTTCTCCTTGTAAGTTCATAGAAATTTCCAATACAATACAAACTATAATTATATGTAATCAGCAGTTATTTACTATATGCAATCAGCAATTATCTTTGACATAACAACTAAAGCTTGCTTCAATTTTTAATACAGGTGGCGGTTCCAGCGGTGCAGGTCCATTGAAGCAGGCTCCAGTTCCGTTTGGATCTGGAGGTGCTGCAAATGTTCAGAAACAGGCGTCTCTTGATTACTCGACAGGTTCTCAAGGACGAAGTGGACCAGGACAACATGGTGGATTCCAAGGTTCATCTGGGTCTCCCTTTAGACCAGGACCACATTTTGCTAGTGGATTTCCTCAAGATATTTTTGGACTATTTTATGGAGGAACTGGAAGTCCAGGCGGAGGCCCAGGAGGTCCAGGAGCACCAGGAGGCCCAGGAGCACCAGGAGCACCAGGAGGTGCAGGAGGCCGAGGAGCACCAGGAGGTGCAGGAAGCCCAGGAGCACCAGGAGGTCCAGGAGGTCCAGGAGGTCCAGGAGTTCAAGGAAGATCAGGAGGGGCAGGAGGTTCAGGGGGCTCAGGAGGTTCAGGAAGATCAGGAGGCCCAGGAGGCCCAGGAGCACCAGGAGGCTCAGGAGGCTCAGGAACACCAGGAGGTGCAGGAGCACCAGGAGGTGCAGGAGCACCGGGAGGTCCAGGAGCACCAGGAGGCCCAGGAGCACCAGGAGGCTCAGGAGGCCCAGGGGAAGCAGGAGGTGCAGGAGGGCATGGAGGTGCAGGAGGTGTAGGAGCACCAGGAGGCCCAGGAGGCCCAGGAGCACCAGGAGGTCCAGGAGTTATAGGAAGACCAGGAGGGCATGGAGGTGCAGGGGGCGATGGAGGTGCAGGAACACCAGGAGGGCCAGGAGGTCCAGGGGGCGCAGGAGCTCCAGGAGCACCAGGATATCCAGGAGGTCGAGGAGGTTTAGGAGGCCGAGGAACACCAGGTGGCCCAGGAAGACCAAGAGGCCCTGATGGACCAGATGGCCCAGATGGCCCAGGTAGTCCGGGAGGACCAAGAGGCCATGATTTACCAGGATATCCAGGAGCTTCAGGAAGGCCAGGTGGTCCAGGAATATTATTAATTAATTAGTTTTTACTTTGAGAGGTTTTTTACTTGATATTCAATAACGCACGTTATTACCTTTACGCTTTTATTACAAGGACTGTTAGAATAATATATGAAACAATAGAAATATAATATATATACTGTTTTACATATTTACATAAAGGTGTCGCTTACATATATGGAATGATAAGGTAGATTCTTTCTATGAATACAAGTAGCTATGTATTACATTTACCCTCCCAACACTCCTTCTTAAATGTAAGTTTATTCGTAGATTATTTTATTTTTAAGTTTCTTAAATTTTTCTATACTTTTTGTTAGTAAATGGGCTATTTGTTCTTCAGTTGGACAATATTCTATACTTATTATGCCTTCACTATATTTTTCGCTTATGAAATGAAACCTGACATCTATATGTTTGCTACGTCTATGTAAAATTCCATTTTTTATCAATGCTCCTTGATTATTTATCAGAAGCTTAGCTTTTACTCGTTTATTAGCTATTGATTCTAAAATATTCTTTAAATATATTAATTCTTTACAACATTCTGCTGCTATATATTCTGCTTCTGTTGTTGACAGTGATACGATAGGATTACGGGAGCACCAGCTGATCGGACCCTTTCCGAACATTATAACGTAACCTGTGGTATTTTAAATACCCATTTTGTACTTAGCACTCTCTTATTTTTAATTGCATTTGGATCTCTCCATGTTTCATTTGCTTTTAGTGACTCCTTTTCTTCTTGTATAGCCTCTTTCCATTTCTGTGCATCTTTTCAATTGCTTCTTTTTATGTTAAATGTACATAATTGTCACCGTATCTTTCTGGAATATTTCTTGTTCCTCTTCTTAGTTTTTCTCCCTCTGAACACACTTTTTCTCTTCCTCTTCTTGAACATTTTTTAATTCTTCATCATCCCTTTCTTCATTTTCGTTTCTGTTTCTTTAATCTCTTCCAACATCTCATGATTCACTTTTACTTTATTTCTTCTTCTTTTTCTTCATTTTCTTGAGCTTGTTCTTTACTTTTAAAGATGACATCTCTTGCAGTTATTACTTTCTTGTTGTATATCCAACAAATGTATACTTTTTGCTTCTTTCATCTAATTTCTTTAGATATTTTAATTCTTTTACAAAGGCATCGCAACCAAAAACCAGTAAATTCAAACAATTGGGCCTTTTTCCTGGCCAATTTTCTGCCGGTGTTGCTCGTTTTTGTTGGACTTCGATTTAGTAGGTATGTTACGGTGAAAGACCGAAATCTGGTGACATTCACATAATCGCTTGGTGTATGTCCGTAATATTTGCTAAATATCCTTATTTCTGACTTACACCGGTGAATGTCGACATTCGCCATGCACTAATGGCGAATGTTGAACATGTCGGAGATTTATATTTTCTTCTCCGTATTTCAGTCGCTATAAAACGTCACAAGGGTGACGTAACTTTTTCGCCTCTCTTTCTGAGAGGAGAGACCAAGAATTTAAAACACATAGTACATTCTAAGCATACGTGTTCTTCCTCCGTCGCCTATTCTGGCGCGAGTTTCATATAGTATACTGAACAATTTTTCATTGGTAACATAATACTGTATATTCGTTTCCCCTGATTTTAATAGTACAATTAATTTCCCTTCATCATTAATTTTTAAAACGTCAAAACGTTTTAATCGTCTGTA